GTAAGTCAATTAAATGTTCGAAACTGACATAGAGCTCGTTGTTATATATGTATAATTTAAATTATTTGTTAGTTCTAATAATCTATCAAAATACTTACTTTAAAAAACATTTACATTTTCGTGTGACATATTTAAAGCCAATTGTAATTATTTGAGATATTTCCTTATATAATATATAAAGCGATAAATATTTTCTGAAAAAGCCATATTGTTAAGATGTGTCATATTATCAGCTATGTTCCATTAAACTGGCAGTTGGTGCGTTTAAATTAACTCATTGATCATTTTAAATTGATAATCAGAATTTTCTATCTCGTACATGTATTTCTTTAATTTAGTGCAAAATAATTGAATTATTGTTACAAATGAGTAAAGGATAAATTTATCAGTTCTAGAAGTATTGTGGAACACTTTGTGAATTATTACTAGAATGATTAAAATTTGAATTCAAAATAATACCAATTTAAATTAATTTAAATGTGCCGCATATTCGGAGTGTAATGTGAATCCTAGAAGAAAGTACTGCGAACTGGGTGCTAGGAAATCGCCAGAATGGATTAATTGTAGCAAACGACAGCGTACGTTTATTTGCCTTAAAATGGACAAAAGAAGAATGCCAACGGAAGTGGAAACTTTAAAGCAACTTTGAGTTGATGAAGTCAATTAATTAGTGACACTGAATGATTTAGTTCATTAGCGTTTTACCTTGTCATTGTACAGTATTTAAGACTTTCAAACACATGCAACTTTCTAGTATGAGTTTATATATTTTATAGTTTCCAGGTTGAAATGCTACCTTATTGTGATTCAGAAATAAGCAAATAACTAAGAGATACTTTAATTATATGAGTTTCATTTAATTTAGGTTGGATTCTTATTAATACTTCCGAGTTGCTGCATTTACAAGATTTATTTTTAAAATGTTGAAATGCATTTTAAACATTTGCAGTCTGTATTACCAATAGTCCTTGAGACCCGCATACCTGAAGGCAAATGAATTCATTAAAGATAATTTTAATCATTTACTGAACAATTCGCAAACTACAAAGATTTTAATATACTATAATTTTAATATACGTACCCAACTTCAATACTTAAATTTGTTTAACTTCAAATACGAATCTCTCATTTAATCCACACGCACTATGTGTCAAGTACTAAGAAAAATTCCGGAAAATTAGATTGCAATATTTGTTCATGGAATACCGCTAGCAAACACTTTGCGACGTCGCAAATTAGTGTATTACACAGACAGCGCACACCAAATGTGGTGGAAGAAATATCACGTGACGACATTGCAATGAATATACCTATTAAAGGAGTGACTTTTATGTTATTCTAAAAGTAGCAAATGATAATAGTGAATTTCGGGACAAGGTAACAATAAGATAGAGCATATTGCGTTCAGTATTTCCCATCTATACGGATAATTTGAATTTCTATACAAAATTATATACATCTATATAGAATTATATACATTCTTTCTATACAGAACACATTACTTTCTATACAGATAATTTGAAGTTCGTGAATCAATCAGATCCTTCCAGATATGGAAGACCCAATAATGTTAATCACAGATTATTAAAATAAGTAAGGCCTGAAACAAGTCCCATTGTACAAACAAATTTCAGAGAATTAAGATACGTCCGACAGAATTAATTCCACGGGGCACAGCAATTTACATGGCTATAGCAACTGAGAAGTAGCGTTAAAAATGACAACTGAGAAATAGCGTTTTGGCGCCCTACCCAGTAAAATTCAAACCAAAACATAATTTTAAAAATATATAACCTCAATAAACTGCATTTTAAATCGCACAAGGAAATAACATAACAATGGAACTGCATGTTTTGAAATCTGCGCAATACAAAAAGGAAGTATCGACTATTTAAAAATTTCTGTTCCTTCGGCATGTGAAACACACAGAATTCCTTAACAGCATCCAAAAATGATTTAAAATTATCTAAACTAGAATCTGTATACTCTGCCGTTGTCACAGGAATTCATAAAATTAAAAATGAAAAATATCCTCCATATTGCCGGACCGTCGGTAGCATTTCTTTCAAAAATCCCTTTTTATTACACCCCACATACCTTCAATAGTGTTGATATGAGCTCCGGTTTCAAAATACTTAAATCTCACTTTGTAATTTACCGAGAGGTGAATGAAGCCATTTAAATCTTCAGTTACACACCAGCCAATCAATGGTTTTTTTCCCAATCGTTCTAAAGTGTACAGAAACTTTAGGTTAATCGTACCACCAGCAGGCATTTTACGGCGTAAAGCACAAAATGAGCAACATACTTTCTAACCAACATCCAACACATAAATAAACTCTGACAAATATTTTCCCAATCAGTTAAATTCACCGCAATCACGCAACCAATCATTTCGTAATAGGGTTTCCGTAACATCCAACCAATCAGGTTGCCTAAAATGAAACAACAACTTGGCGATAAACCAAGGGTCACCTTAAAATGTAGACTAACTATTCAACTGGGCAATAGTAGTTCAGTTTGGCAAAAGCAAGTCAAGAAGGCAATATGAATTCACGTAGGATATATATCAGATTTATATGTAGCACTATACTAACTTGGATATTTAGACACAAAATCGGACTTTTCCTGAAATGACATAATTATTTTTTCCATATTCCGATTCGAAGCCTCAGACTATGCTAAATATTAAATTTTGTAAAATTTGTTGGGTAGCTTAGAAATTTTAATCTTTAAAAATGTTGAAGGGATTTATATCATATGGATTATTCTTTGTCAGAATCAGGTACACTTTGTCCTACGCTTCAACAAAATTTAGTTTGTTACTTCTCCAAAATGAGATAAATATTCCTCCCGCAGTTACGAGATATTTAAGAATTTAAATATGTATTTTGACATAATTAAAAATCCGTTCATTCATTCACCCATTTATGAAATGTACATCTTCCACAAAAAAAGGAAGCGGAGTCAGTTATATCTTCTATTTTACTGGGCCGATGCGTTATTCATGTCTCGAAAGCGCGATTTAGGATATGTATGAGATTTATATAAATATTTTGATACAAAATCCGATTTTTCTGAAATGACATACCGAATTCTTCCATATTTCGACTACTTAAATCATACCCAAATATTAACTTTTTGGAGAAAGGTACCAAGAAGTTACAAAATTTAATGTGGCATAGTTTTTCAGTTTGCGCCAAGAGTGGATCAGTATATTTTTTTTCAGTTTGCGCCAAGGTTATCATAAATTAAGAATTTCGCTACTTGGCGAAATCCTTAATTTATGATAACCAATTCTTCTTTTTCTTTCACTATGCATGAGGTGCCTCGGTCATTTTCTCAAATGATTTTAACAAAATGCATTAACCATATTTGGCGTTGTTATCGCTTACAACAAATACACCAAATTCCAAAACGCGTCAATATATAAATTCTCATATAGCTTCGGACATTTTGAATAACAAATTCTCATTTTTTGCTTGTATGTCTAGAAGTACATGATTATGTGGCAGAAAAATGATGGCAAAAAAATTATTCCAAAAATTTTATAGCTTAGAATTCCAAAGTTTTCCGAAAAAATTATAAAAAACTACTAAAAATACGAATTTAAAAAACAATTCAGAAAATAGCTGCGCATGTTATTCGGTTTGAACCTAAATTCTGAAATAAGGAATCCAGTAAGTTTAATAAAAGTAAAAGAGATATTAATAAATATATACCATAGTCTATGAACACGACAAGCTAAACTTTTAAAAACTCATTTTTTAAAAACTGCTCGTGAGACTTTTCACAAACCTTTTCACTTTGGCTTAATTTAAGTCGTAGAAGCGAAATATGGGGAAATGTTAGACATGTCATTTCAGGAAAAGTCCGATTTTCTATCAGAATACCTATGTTAGAAAAATGCTATATATAAATCTAATATATATCCTAAGTCGAGCTTTCGAGACTTGAAAAATGCAAGTTAAATATCGTCAATCGTCCAAGTAGAGCGGGAGATACAGAACTTATTCTTTATGTCTTAATTTAAATGATGACTAATAAAGAGTTTAGCATTTTAAGTTCGAATTGCTTACGAATTATCATTTAATATGGCTCACATTAAATTAAAATAATGATTAATGTTAGAAGAAGACATAGCATAAAAATCGTGTATGAAACCCGCAGAAAATTAAAGCAATTTACTGCCAGAATATTGATAATGATCTAGATCAGTGGTTCTCAACGTTTTAACTAATGCGTACCACATAAACAAAAACTGAAAAACTTTAGTACCACCAATAAATTTAAAAAAAAAAAAATATTTTGCCATTTGCTATTTGCATTACATATGTACACATAAAATATTAGATTAAAAATTTGTTACCATTTTAATTATCAAAATTAAGTTACAATACTTTAATATTAAGTGCGATATTTGGCCCTGTTTAACAGAGATCAGTTGCTTTATGTCTGGTCTTATTTTATTTAGTTTTAACCGTAAATTAGGATCCACTTTTAATTTTGTTCTGGACTTATTTTTCAAATATAAAATGGAAGAAAACCCTTGTTCACATAAATGGATTGTGCAAGAAGGCAATAAAATTAATTAGCATTATTTGAAATATTTTAAAATTCTTTTTCTCGGTTCAGCAAAAAGTTAACAAGCGTGTTATTTTTGAAATCTTCAGTTCTATCACAGGCAATTTCTATCAACAGTTCTTTTTCTTCAGGAGAGTTTTAAATTTAATAGTTAAAAATACTTTGTTTCTTGCATGCCACCTGTTGAGAATCGCTGATTTAGATACAAGATCTTCATCATTATTTGACTCTAAATCTTTAAATATTTAGATCTTCATTAATCTTCATCACTGATCCTGATCATCATCTTTAAATCTAATCTCTTGAGTTAGAAATGCATTGCATTATATAAACCTGAATTTAAATGGTTAGTTTTCATCTTAATTTTCCACTTAATGACTTAAATTGAAAAATTATCAAATGTTGAAATATTTAAGGAACATTACTTCTTTTCTTTTAGTTGCAAAAGCGGTGATCGAAGGTGCTCCGGACATCTACGTAAAAAGTGGTAGCTCCATAAACTTGACGTGCGTCATCACGCAGAGTCCCGTTCCTCCAGTCTTCGTCTTCTGGTATCACGATGAGCGAATGATCAATTATGATTCATCAAGAGGCCAGATCGCCGTTCAGAAAGCTGGCGGAGACACAGCTTTATCTAAACTTTTCATCAAGGATGTGCAGCCATCAGATTCGGGAAACTACACCTGCTGCCCCTCCAACGCCGAAGCTACCAGTATCACTGTACATGTGCTCAATGGTAAGTAGCTCTCCTTATTGTGCTATTGGTAACGCAAGTGATTTCCGAGTCTCAGTTCTATTTCCTGTAACTCTTGGCAAACTAGTTCAAACTGTACGTTCAAGTACAAGATTGTGAAAATGACTGATAGGTTTAATTTTATATTTTGAAATTTCAGAAAGCTTCCGGAAATCTCCTGCTTTTAAATGCTACGTAATTTAGCAAACTATATTTGTTCATCGAAACCTTAAGCAAGAATATATAACAAATTCCTTACTTTGCAAATGAATTGATTTTAAATTCAGGTATACCTACGTTTGTTGCGGTTTGACTTATAAATGCTATATGTGTCAAAGTATGTAACATTGAAGCAGATTTCCGCATGCGGTAAATTTTTAAGTAGAACTACAAATGGCCCACAGTGTAATTAACGATTTTGTTTACATAACACGCAGTTGTAGACTAGTAGTTAAATTAGTGGATTCTTATCTCTTAAAATATATGACGATTATTCTGAAAAGAGCAAGGGTCTCGCTTTCTAAAAAAAGCCTAATTTTATATTAACCTAAAGCTAAACAAAATTTCTCTGCCGGTGAAATGAACTAAAACAAATTTACCTTCAGATAAGAGGAATAAAAATATTAGACAGACTTAACTGCAAATGTAGCGGAGATATTGGAAGTGTCCTTTCAAACAGATATAAACCCTTTTCTATCTAAGATGAATAAAATTTGAAGTTACTTCATCATATTAAAAACTAACAGGGGCAATGCACAGGCTCTGGTTTAATATTTTTGAATTGGAACTTCCCCGTTATCTAAAAAATGAGCGTAAAATTATGTGATATATCCAAGTAATAATTATTTATAATAACAATCGGCAGAGAATTTTGATGTAGCTGTTTCAAAATGACTTTATGTTTAATATACCTTGAAAGGTAAACAGATTACTTAATTTGAAACACTGGAAGTATGTCTTCTAATTTATAAGACAACGAAAGTTTAATTAGAAGTCATTACTTCTAGTTAGTGACCTATCATTTCTTCTTAAAATCATTCAAAATAAATTTTTAAAAAAATCTGAAAGGTTTCGGATTTTAACGGTCGCCCAGAAGACTTTGTTAAGGATTTTTTTTTTAGCTTTAAAATTGAAGCATTATTTTCTTTGCACTTATGCCATATACAAGTCAACAACAAAATTATGAAAATTTTAAAAGCAGCATAGCAAAACATGTTTAGAATTCCCCATGGAGTGTTAAGTTTTGGCATACATTTTTCTACATTTTTTCAGTCGTTTCTCAGTATATCAATGTTCAGTTTTCTCAGTAAGATGGCTAGCAAAATAGTTTTCTTTCTTTTTTCTTCTTCTTTTTTTTTTTTTTTTTTTTTTTTTTGGGTCTTTCTAATGTTCAGGTTTTGTGTGTTAACTTCATTCATTAAATATCATGTTTTTCGGGCTTAAGCCATATAAAATTCAATTCAACGGAAAAAAATCACAAAATATTTAAGAACAGTATATCATTAGAACTTCCGCTAGCCAGTCTTCCGCGCTGGAGACAAAAATGTTTTATTCCGTACAGTTTTGCCACTGCTCGCTTTCAAATCACCAAGTTCATTAATGATAAATTCATTAAAGTTATACAAAATAAGAAAAGGATTATAAAATAAATACGTAATTCAAAACTGGGCTTCCAGGTGGACATGTTCGGGTGGAGGACTACTTTATGCAAAATTTGATGGCTGTACCGCCGATTTTTTACAGACATACATTCATCTAGATTCTTTCTCCATTATTTAAATCCTTTAAAAAGAATGCAAGGAGATAATATTTGGTAGCAATAATTTGAAAAGTGATTATATTCAGTAAAAAAATCTCGTTTCAAAAGTAATAGCCCATTTGTGCTAACGCCCCTTTGGGCCTAAATATTTGACATAAGCAGGTACCTTATTAGAAATTGCAAGAATGTTTTCTTAAGATTTTTAATCCAAATTATGTCGCTTGATTTTCTATCGCTCAGAAATTAAATGGAACTTATGCAAATATTCTTGAGCAGATTCTTAGATTGTAAAATTTAATACGAACCAGAATTAAGAAAACATACCTGTTCTTAAAATCTGTTTAAATCGTGTTGAGTCAAGACAAATCACTTAAATATACAATATAATTAGTTTTTCTAAACCCTGTCAAAATCAGAATCATAAGTACAATATTCGCCTAAAGCAATAAAATATTCTAATGTACATTAAGCAACATCTTCATCAGTATCCTTCTAAATATGTAATGAAAAATACGTTCACTTCCAGAATGATTTTGAACTTTCTCATTAATTAATCAGGCTAAGAAAATGAAATGTTTTGAGCCGAAACACTACATTTTTTTTTTATTTTTGTCTGTCTTTGTTTGATTGTGTTGCTCGTTTTGTTTTCAGGACGTATTCAGAGGATCTCAAACATGTACACTGCTTTTTCTAAACACTACCCTTTCTTTTACTTCTTCTGCCTAAATTTCCTACATTGTGAACAGATTAGAGTAGCAGTATTTTAAAAGAAGCAAAAAATTGATTATATTAAGAAAAGTAAATGTTTTTAAATGATATAAAAGTACTTATTCACTTTAACATTTTTCGTTTGGAATTACACCATGAAGTTCATCATAGCACCTAATATAATCATTAACAACTAGATTACTGAAAAAGAAAGTGTAACTAGTTTATAACTTCAAAACGTATCCAGAAACTTGCAGTTCGAGAAACCATTCAATACAAATCCCATTATAAAATAAAGTGTTAAATATTCTGAATAATTTATATATATTGAATATTGCTATATTGAATTCTCACTTTTAATTTTTTCCCACTGGCTGACACTTAGCAAACTTAGGCTTGTCACTGCTAAGGCCGAAAGCGGAAGCACCTGATAGGTGGGCCACCATTTTCTCTTATGAAGATGATCACAATTACAGCCATGCCTTCTCCGTGAAACCAACCCAGGCCCTTCAATAAAGCAGTAGGCTATCCTAATCACTATAGCGTCTAGACGAAGGCTTTGGAATTAGTTTGGTTTTGTTTGTTTAATTATGGCAAAGTTCGCAAGGGCTATCTGCCCAAGAGGAGAGATGCCTTCGTGGAAGATTTCTAAGGGACACTGACTTGTATTTGGGAAAATCGCGAAAACGCCCATGCAACCAATCCGTTCGCCTGGAAATCCGCTGGTGGGCTTTTTGAAATTAGATATTGGATTGTAGGTATATAATTGTAATAACAATGCTTTCAGTTTCTCTGTCGTCTGATTACATCTGAGCACAGGTTGTATGTAGACTGTACTGTGGCATAAATGCTCATCACTGCCGTAGTATTTTGAGGGCAAATTCCTAATGTGCTTGGGGGAACTTGCATGTTTTCTTCATTATATAACTCCCCGTAGTAATAAAAACGTCATGCAATTACCTAGCAAGGCCTTCAACCGCTTGTGTTATTGCAAGGCCCTGATTTTCTCAGAGACAAAAGGGGGTAAGGGACTGGAAATCTCGTTTTCGAAGAGTAAAAAATCTCCTCACAGCATTTAAAATATGTAACTTTTTTTTTTTTTTTTTCCAATTCTGGGTTCGAAAAAAAATCTACGATTAAAATATTTTACGTTTAATTTATTTAAACGTAAATTTATTTTACGTTTTAAAGAAAATTAATTTTTTAATTCTACAATTTATTCGAATGCTTTTACTCAAAGATTTTGATAAACAATTCAACCACATTAATTCATTTAATTAAGTTAATTACTGTTTGCAATAAAGTCAATAAAAATCAAAAAACAAATCTTTTTTTTTTTTTTTTTTTTTTTATTTATTTCTTTCAGAAAGTTTCTGTACTGGTTCAAAATTTATAGCATTATATTTTAACCTACATATATTGAACAGAAACCATAAAAATGAAACAAACAAACAAAATGTGAAATTCATTTTTTTATTTAAGTAACTTTGAATGAAAAAATTAAATTACAAATTGAACTCATGTGTGTAACGTAAATAACCTTTAATTCATAAAATTTTAATTTTAATTAATTCATTTGTATTATTCAAATTTATCTGCATTACGCTTTCTGAACTGAAGTTATTTTGCGAAATACTTTATAGGAAATTTGCATCAATAGCATCTTCCAAGCTGAAAAAATAGGGTAAAAAATGACACGAAACAGTCTTCCCCTAAGTCTCTAGTTTCGTAAACGTGGCCGCGCAGTAGGGAAATCAAGTATCACAGCTAAAAGTACAAAGCATATGATTTACGTTATGTAGCTTTTACGCAGAATTATAAAGTCATAAAATCACAGCATATGAATACAAATAGTTACCATTTCCTATCAAAAGACCGTTTTAATTATACGTAAATATACTCTATATATACGAGTATATCTATATTTTCCGTTTTAATTATACAGAATTGTATAATAGATCGAAATGATTTTGGTTAGATTTACGAATGTTCATTAGAAGGTAAAGCGATTTATAACTCCCTACATCTTACAGAAAAATTTTTGCTTATAATAAAACCTTACTATATGCCTTTGTTTTCACCTTACTATATGCCTTTGCTTTAACAAAAACTAAAACAAATCATCAAATAAATGAACAACTAAATATGAAAAATGCGTCGTTAATTAAAGAAATGTAATAGGAAACTTAAATTTCAAAAGAAATCAACGAAGAAAAATGAGAAAATGTGTGCAATAACACTGCAGTTTAAGCATCTTAAATCAAACAAAAACAGACTGATGAATCATATCAGTATCGGCAATTCGTTGACTATAATGTTTGTGCGAAACAGCGAAATTGCACCGGAACGTAAACACACAAATTTTAATTAAAACTTTCTGCAGAAAATATGTGCGTTATATTTTCACTTTAATTTCTCATACATGCATTGTTATGTTTGTTATGCTGAGATACATTCGTATCTTTAGGTTTCGTTTTAAAAGAGCTCATCGTACAGAAATTTTTTTTTTGCAAACTTAAGTAAATACTTCACGTAT